TATATATATAATGTGTGTGTGTGTAGTTGCATTGTCTTGTGCACAGAAGCATGTTTTTATTTATTCTTTTCTGTCCTGTATCCTTGTGTTTGATCATAGTTCTATTACTGCTTATTCCTGGTTGTTAGTGTATAGTGACTCTATAGTGACTCTTTTGAAACAGAATCTATGGCCAAAGAAAGGTGACATGCTTCTGATCACATTTGTGCTTGTACGCCCTCATCCATGAACACTCCTAACTGCTGCATGTATTCATTCAGAAAATAAAGCAGCTTCTGCTAAACTCTTGCTTTAGTTTCTTATCTCTTTACAGCTCTAACAGCCAGCAGGCTAGTTAAATGTCACACACACACTTACATACCCTTAGAAAGCAAAACCTTCTTGTAATTCAAACAATTTGTAGCATTTCATGATCAAATAATCAGTAGCAGCAACAATGAAAAAAAGACATTTCTAAAGAAATGATGAAATGTGTTGATGCAGCTGCTGACCATATTTCCAACATGACTTTTATCTAAGTTAAGAAAACTACAATTGTGTTTTGATGTGTCCTGATGCAGCTCAGTAATCCAGGTAGAAAAATCTAAAATAAATAAATAAATAAAAGTTTAATAGATCCTCTGGATGGATTCTTCTTTGATAAAAAAAATCTTTCTCTAAAAAACAATCATCTCTCCCTCAAGTGGAGGCATCTGCAACCATCAAAGGTATAATCCTCTTTGCCAATCTGTATGCATCAGCTGTTTCAGGAGTCCTCTGGGAAAACAAAGTCCTGAAGGCCTCCTTCTTCAGCCTGACGGCCTTCATCACCGCTGGTGTCCACCAACGGGTCCTTTGGTTGCCACCGTGACAGACACCGATGACCTCACAGCTCCTGGAAGCCACATCTACAATGGAGGCCCTGAACATGGTCCATTCAGTTTCCATRTCCCCAAMCTCCTCRGGACATATGAGAAACTCCAGGAGCTGAGAGTTGAAGATCACATGGACAGGGGGCTCTGTCAAAGGTTCCCAGTTCAGCTTCACTATATTTAGGTTTACCAGTTCTGTCTGGCAGCCTCCCCCACCACTGGATCCAACTCACCACCAGGTGGTGATCAGGTGACAGATCTGTCCCTCTCTTCACCTGAGTGTCCAACACACAGGGCCTCAGGTCAGACACCATTGCAATTAGAGATGCACCGATCCGATACCAGTATCGGTATCGGTCCCGATATTTAAAAAAACCTTCTAGATCGGGTATCGGTGGCAATG